CATCTGCAAAAAAAGAAAACCCCAAACTCCCAGCCGTGGACTTGATCCCGACGCACAGCGTGCCAACAGGATGGACTAGACCTGCCCCCGTGGGTTCCCAAGGCTGAAGAAAGCCTCCTCTTCCTCCTGAGGAGGATCTGGTGATTTCACACTGCTGACTCCGTGGTTCGCAGCCCGACTGGAAACCGCTAGGCACCAGAGCTCCTTTCTGCCTGGCAGAGGCAGGCGCGGGACTGGCCACAGTCAGGCTGGCTGCCGTGCGTTGGATTCTGCTATAAAAAGGTTGGATGTTCGGCCCTCAATGGTTCTCACCTTGACTGCTCTACTCTTTCAACTTTCACCGGGCACGGGGCGGGGTGGGCTGCTGAGAACAGAATGACAGATGAGCTGCGCTCTCTGCTCTCGGGCTACTTCTGCCCAAAGGTAGCCTTTGTTCCAGTTTTACAAAGGAGGAAAAGCAAGGTCCTGCTGTCAGTTAGTGGCTGAGCTAGGAAGCCAAAGCCAGTCAGCGTGGCTGCCCGGCCACTAATGACAGGGGAGACAGCGCTCCCCTGAATCCGCAAGCCCTGGAAACCTCAGCAGGCCCCTGAGGGGCTGTCTTCAGTCCTTGTCTGAGAGCAATTTTGAAAAATAAGTCATAAATAAAGAATGCAAACAATATAATTCCATGTACATGACATTAAAAAACCAAAAAGGCAGAAAGAAGTCTTGCTTAGTTGGGCATAAACAGCAGTAACACTACCGAGGAACAAACACAAGGAATTGACTTCCCGCGGCTGGGAGAGTGGCCACTTCCAGAGGGAAGGAGAAAGAGAAGGCGGGGTGCTTGCGGGGCATGAAGGGACTCGAGTGGGGGCTGATTTCCACGGCAGACCTGGAGGTGGGGATACAGAATCTAGTTTATGAATGGCTCATTCGCCTGAATACATTCTTTGTTCTCCTGTATGCATAAACCCAACCCCTCTGCCATCCAGTGGACGCCGGCTCACAGTGACCCTCTAGGACAGGGGAGAACCGCCTCTGTGAGATTCCGAGACGGTCACTGTTACGGGAGTAGAAAGCCCACTTTCCTCGCGAGGAGGGGCTGGTGATTTCGAACTTTGGACCTTGTGGACTGAAGCCCAACTCTGTCACCAAGGCCCCTCCTGTATGTTGCTCTCACAATACAAAGCAATGCCCAGGAAGGCAGGTAAAAGAGCTTGCTTCCCTGGAGAGGGGGCCCTTTGCTGACCTCCCACAGAGGGAACTGCAGCCCGTCCACCAGCGCGCCCTTAGTATGTGCTGCCCCCAAGACACATTCTGGGGAGGACAATACTTGCTGGGTTCCTCTGGCCATTTGACACGAGTCACAGCAAGTTGGGTCCTTCTATACCTGAACTGGGTGCTGGAGACGAAAACCCGAGCAGCACTGTAACAATAGCCACCTGGTTCAGAACCAAGCCAAGAACAACCTTGTACCAAACTGCAGAGGAAACCTCTCTCCTGGGAGACCTGTGATTCATGAGGCGTTCATGTATTCCTGATCAGAGGCTGACAAATCAAACAAACAGAAGGGAGTGTTCAGCTGGGCTTTGTTCGAGACTGCTGAGTCAGCCCCGCTATTACTGAGCGGGATTGGAAGGCAGGCCTGGGACCCGGGAGGGTGGCATGTGGAGTAGGGAGTTTCCACCGTGGCTCAAGCGCTTTGTTGGGGGTGGGGAGGGCTTTTAGCTGGTTCTAGCCAGTCTCCTTGGGCTTTGTCTTCAGAAGTACCCCACCCCTCCGGAGGCCCTGCCCATTGAGGGTGTGGTCGTGGGTGGTGGGTAGACTATGCCTTGGGGTCCTGGGGGGCTCAGGGAGCGTGTTCTTTCACTACCAGTGGAAGTGAGGGTGGGCGTGACGGATAAAGGCCTGCACATCCGTGGGATTTCATTCCAGGTAAACAAAGATTCCCATTACCTAGATGTCATTCCTAAAACTGTCGAGATCGTCAGAGGAAAAATGGAATAGGGGCAAGCTTAGGGTCCCGGATACACAGCAAAACCACACTGTGAGCCACAACGAAATACCGCACAAATGGTAGAAGACAAACCAGACGACAGTGCCCTCCCCCAAACCCAAGGTTTATATGGGTCCAAAGACTTGACCGAGAGAGTAGAGAGCTTACGACTGGGAGCGTTCTCTTGGCAATGACCCAGCAGAGAAAGGTCTAATCTCTAAAATGTATAGAAAAGGCCAACACCTCCGCAAACAATCCAGATTAGAAACGGACACAGACACTGTGCTCGTCATTCGTCATCACCCAACTTCCATCAAGTTGATTCAGATGCACAGCGAGCCTATGTGGTGCTTCCAACACTGTCCGTCTTCACCGGGGCAGACAGCCTTACCTTGCCCCCTTGGAGCAGCTGGTAAATTTGAACTGATGACCCTGAAGGTCCTTAGCAATCCCTTGCCTAATCCACAGTGCCACCAGAGCTCATCAGCCGTTAGAGAAATGCAAATTGTTTCCTCAGCTGCCGCTAAGGTGCTTGGTCCTTCCGAGGAAGCTAAGACCGCGTTGGGGCGAGCCCCTCACTTCATCCGGCGACTAGCACCGCGCCCGGCAGCCGCCAGCCCAGGACTCCCGCGCCATGGCCTCCGTCTCCGAGCTCGCCGGCATCTACTCGGCCCTCATCCTGCGCGATGACGAGGTGACCATCACGGAGGACAAGATCAACGCCCTCATTAAAGCCGCCAGCGTCAACGTGGAGCCCTTCTGGCCCGGCCTGTTCGCCAAGGCCCTGGCCTACGTCAACATCGGGAGCCTCATCTGTAATGTGGGGGCTGGTGGAGGACCTGCACCCTCCACCGCTGCTGCCCCAGCTGAGGAGAAGAACGTGGAAGCCAAGGAAGAAGAGGCTGGAGAATCCGATGATGGCGTGGGCTTTGGTCGTTTTGACTAAACCCTCTTTTGTTGTGTTCAATAAACCGAACTGAACTCTAAAATAAAAAATAAAAAAGCAAATTAAAACAACAAGGGGCTATCGCTTCACCCGGTATTAGTAGTTGTGGGAAGCAACCAGGAAGCAGTGCATGGGACAAACTCAACGTTCAGATGTTAACGAGGCTGGGCTAGGGCTCTCATGGAGGGAGCTTTCCCATTGTGGTTTGAGGATGCATCCCGCTCACATTCTCCTAGGTAACAGTTATTCCCTCAAGGTCCCCCACAGTGATGCCAATCTTAAGGTGCTGCTTGCAAGCACATGGCTGCTACTAGATCCGCTTGAAAGCCAACTGCTTGATGGCTACTTGCCTGAAGGTGGTCTGCCGTGGGCGGCAATCAGACCCTGTTGTCTGTTCCACCCTTAGTAGGGCCCACTCCCTATGGAGAAAACATGAAACAAAATTCACAAGGCTACTCTCTGGACATTTCTGTTGACAAACCACATGGAGCTATGGCAACCAGAGCCCTGGAGCTGGAGGAGCCACATGGAGACCCATGCCAGTGTTGAGATGCTTCCAGCCCCACTGGATCCACAAGACTTTCCACCCACTGACCTATGTCTTCCTGCATTCGGCATCACCGCATGTGTTGCAAGAGTCTGAAGAGAAATTTATGGACTGGTATTGGACATATCGACTAATATTGGACTTATGGACTTGATCTAGACTGGGCTGGGGTGTTTTCTTAATATATAATTGCCCTTTGACATAAAGCTCTCTCTTACACATACACACACACACACACACACACACACACGACTAGGCTTCTTGATCTCATGGAAATTGGTGGAGCTGGGGACAATGGCCCTTAGTCACACGTTAATCCTGGCATGGAACTGATTTCCATGTCACGACTTGCAGCCAAAGGACAATGACGATGGATCCACAAGGTGAACAGTTACAGCAGCAAGGTGCATACTCCTTAGAGCAGCGGTTTCAGCCTGTGGGTCACGACCCCTTTGGGGGTCGAACGACTCTTTCACAGGGGTTGCCCAATTCCTAACAGTAGCCAACTTACAGTGATGAAGTAGCAACGGAAATAATGTGATGGTTGAGGTCCCCAAACATGAGGAACTGCATGAAAGGGTGGCGGCACGAGGAAGGTGGAGAACCACTGCCTTAGAACAACTGAGCCTACGAGGCTGCTCGGCAGTATCGCTCCCGGGACAATGCTCAGAAGGCGGGGAAGGATGAGAAAGGAGGAGGGATGATGGGAGATGGGAGACCCAGGGATGATGTGGGAAGCGTGCTGTTCTATTGTGGGGATGGCAATCAGTGTCTCAAAATAAAGTGTGTATGACTTGTTCAAAGGAAAACCAACTTTCTCTGTAAACTGTCACAAGGAAAAAACAATTCAAAAACGTACCCCTCCCTCACACACACAAAAGAATACCTATATGTATACCCAAAGAGCAGTGCACATTAGTGGTTTCCAGAGATGAGGAGGGAGGGGCATGCATATTTGACATGAGATACTTCTTATATATAGTGATGAAAAAGTAGTCTTGCGTATAGGTGAAGTGCACACAGCTTGCCCATGGTAAGGGATGGCATAAGTGCCCATCAGTCACTCTTAGAAGGGCCTAATGGGATAGAGGATAGATAAATCCCGTTTCCTCCCCTTACTATCATGGTCCATACATGATACACTTCATTGGTCATGT